TGGTTGCACTTTCGCTGCCAAACGCTGCCTCTGAATCCCTAGAAAAAGGGAAATTTGTTTCCAAAATTTTTGGTTTTTCTCACACTGGCCACGCAACCGCTGCTCTCGACAGGCCGCAGCCCCAACCCGAAACAAGCTTCCACCAATCCCTGATGCAGCCTCCATCAAGCCCTACTTCCAGACCACAAATCATCCAAAAACAGTTCGTCCCCTCCACACCATGCTCGTACCCTCCCTCCAAGGCTCCCGGCTATCTGCTTCGCCACGCCTTTCCAGCTCCTAGTTTGAAACCAAAAGTCATCCAAAAATTGTCCTCCCGGGAAGCCTTTGAAAGCTGCCAAACGCCTCGTCTGAATCCTTAGAAATCCTTAGAAGACAATGATTTCACGCTGGCCACGAAACCGCTGCTCTCAACAGGCCGCAGCCCCAACCCGAAACAAGCTTCCACCAGTCCCTGACGCGGCCTCCATCAAGCCCTACTTCCAGACCACAAATCATCCAAAAACAGTTCGTCCCCTCCACACCATGCTCGCACCCTCCCTCCAAGGCTCCCGGCTATCTGCTTCGCCACGCCTTTACACCGGAGGTCTGGTCGATTTTGGACTCTGGCATCGAAGTGGACTCCATCTGCGGCGGTGACTCTTGCACACGACGGGTCTTGACGAACCATTTGTTGATCCTGGAAGGCCTCCTCGAAGGTCTGTCCCAGCTTGGCCTTCCCAAAGGCGATGGGCACGGTTTTGAGTCGAGCCAGTGGCATCAGATCGATATTCTAATTCTCCTCTTCCTACTGATCTTTCTTGACGGCTATTTGGAATTGAACGAATTTTTGATTGAGGCTTGACATGCTCGGAGACGCGCGAGTCTTATTTGAAAATCACTGCTTGAGAGCTCAGGGGCTTCATTGATGACTTCGGCTGGTACTCTATCGTATCCTGACAGTTGTCTATCTTGGGCAAACTGGTGGTTGTGCCTTCACAAAGACCATGCTTTTGATGGTTATTCTCTTTGGAATGGTTGGTCTTAATTACCTGGGATTCGCATGTGGCAAAGTCTGAAAAGCACTGTTCTGCTCTTGACTGGGACGTCTGTGCGGCATGCTCTTGGTTTTGTGCCGAATACTCGGATTGCGGTCTTTGAATCTTTTCTAATCCCTGTACCTGCACAATGTCTTGGACAGCATGGACGTCCTGAGGCCACAATTGATTAATGTCCAAAAGCATTAGATTTGTTGCTGATTTCGTCATTTCGAGATACTTATGTTTCTTACTCTATAACGAACCTTCATCTGCGTCAATGACGGCTTGAATTGTCTTGAGGAATGCGTTCGAAAAAAGAAAAGCCGTTTGGCCCGGGACAATCGCGATGCGGAACCAAATCTGGTGCACTGATAGGTTGATAGCTACATGGCTGATTAGCGTTTGATGGTTGCCAAAACGGAATATTATATGACATTTGGTTTTGGTCATCCTTTCCCTAATCTCCCTTTGGAGGAACTCAATGACTTGGTGGCTGCCAATGATTGTCTGCGACGCCCCCAAATCTACTACACCGATGGTACCTGAAGATGCAAAGTATGTTAGAGCTTCCTCGGCTGACCATTCCATGATCGAATTAGGTTCCGGCTTCAAGGCAGACTGGCGGTTCTCAGGCGCTGGACTTTTGATCCTTGTTGCTTCATCATGTTTGATGACAAACACTCAACACGAGGCTTTGTGGGCATCCATGTCGACGACGGTCTATTCGCAGGTGATTCCGTGTTCCATGAGAAAATCAACCAATTTGAAAGGATGTTTCCCTTTGGGAATCGAAAGCAAAAGAACTTCGTCTTCACAGGTCTTCAAATAAGCCAACAAGATGACTATTCCATCCATATTGATCAAACAACTTATGTAAAAGATATCAACCCGATTAACATTGATAAGGATCGTAGGAAGCACCCCGAAGAACCAATCAATGAAGAAGAACGACAGGCACTCCGTGGCATTATAGGCAATCTCCAATATGCAGCCGTCAATACTAGGCCAGATCTCGGAAATCGATTGAGTATGCTGCAGAGCCGTATCAATAATGGTCAAATCAATGACCTGATAGAAGCTAACCGACTCCTTCACGATGCCAAGGTCCATGCCGGGGTAAAATGCAAATACCAACACATCCCAAAAGAAGAAATTCGATTTGTAGCATTCTCAGACGCTTCATTCGCATCCGAAAAGAATCAATCATCCCACCAAGGACTCATGATCATGACTGCACACCGGGATATTGGAGAAAATCGCAAAAGTGCAGTGAACCCTATCCTGTGGTCTTCCAAGAAAATCCAAAAGGTGTGGTGGCCGTGAGTATGTTGTCAGCAGAAGCCACGGCATTTGCAGGAGCCATGGATTTGCTTGCGTGGTGCCGACTCTTTTGGGGATGGCTCATGGATCAGAAATATAAATGTCAATTAGGTGACAAGACCTTGTCCAAATTGCCTCCTGCATTCTCGGCGTTTAAGGACGAAATTGAACTCAAAGATCCCAATCAATCCTTGAGTGAAAATCTGATTAAACTGCAAATCATCGGAAAGCAAGACTCTGTGGTGGCAACGGATTGTAAAAGCCTCTTTGATTTGGTGAATAGAATCGCGTCACCAGCATGCCAGGAGTTTAGAACACTCCTTCAGGCAAAATTGATAAAAGAGCACCTAGCTACCGGAGTTACCATTAGGTGGGTCCCTTCAAGCGCCTAAGTTGCTAATTATTTAACGAAAACATGTTTAACGAAAACATGGACAACTCCATATTGAGGGAAATTCTCAATATCGGAAAGAAATGAGATTCTTCGCTCTAGATCCGATAGAAAAGCCAGGTTAAAATGGTTTAGGAATCATCAACACCCAGCCGAGCTCTCTGGATACAGGAAAAGCAAAAGCCAACGAAATTTTAAGTGTTACTAAGTTGTGCTGAAAATCAACGAAATTTGACAGAATTTTGAGATAAATCAATGGAATCTAATGAAATCTTAGGGTGATTCACTTAGAAAATCTCCTGAAAAAAAAAAAAAAAAACCTCAAAAGGGGAACGTACCAAATACTCGGAAGAATATTCTAATGGGATTAAACACATTTTTTTTTTTTAGAAACAATTTGTTAATTGGATTCGGAAAAAATCCTGCCGGAACATGCTCGACAAATAAAAAAAAAATTGGGAATGTCAAACGAATGATATTCTGCTTGTCGCATGTTCGTGCAAACCACACATCCGATAAACCCTCGGTCCAAAGACAGCTTAAGCGGGAAGGGTAGCGTGCTGTTGAGCCGTAAAAGAAAAGGTAGCGGAGGGCGCTTTAAAGAAACAACGTATTCGCGACATAAAAACAGAATTCAGGGAGAAGATCAAAAACAGGGTTCTTTAGGAATTTAATTGCAAAATAAACCAGAATTAGTAATATTCCAAATACCGCAAATCTCCAAAAAAAATTATAACCCTCAAGGACTTATAAATTAATATTACAAAATATTATAATTCCAAATTTACATAATTTTTTGAAATATTAAAAATATCTAAATATATTCAATCCTATATAAAATAAATTTGTTTTTTTAATTTTTTTTCTTAATACATATAATCGATTATTATTATATAAAATAAAAAAATATTAATATTATAATTAAATCTATACTATTTTTAGTTAATTTTTAATTTTCATATCATATTTAATAAATAATAATAATCCATATTAATATCTATCAATATATATTAATATATTTAATACAATATTAATACGTATTTAACGCATTAATTAAATTAATATTTTTAAGACTAAATATTATATTAATAAACAATTATTACATCCAACTACAAAATATAAAGCTAATTAAAAATCCACTATATATATTTTTAAACAACTTAATATATACTATATTCAATTCCTTTATTTGTAATTTTTAATTATACATATTTAATCGAATTCCAAATTTATTAATTTAATCTAATTAAAAATTTATACAATATATTCTATATATTTTTTTTCTTAATATTATATTAATTATATATAATTATATAAATCAAATTATTAATATATACATTCAATTTGGATTTACCTTTTCATGTCTATTCCAATTCTTCAATGAATGCTTCCACAATATCCTTTGCAAAGCGCCTTCTTAATTTGAGGTCAACTCTGAGATGTTCCAGTGCTTCGATCAAATCGCTTGGCTCTTCCTTCTGTGGCCCATCGCGCATCGTCGAACCCTTCAGCTCGTCCCGCAACACCTGAAAAAGCTGCGGATTCCTCGCCTGCGGGCAGGGTAAAAACTGACTGTTCGGCAGAATCTTATTCTCCAAGACTCTGGGATTTACTTGAGGAAGCGGGAAAAAACGTAAAATTAAATATGTCCGAACAAGGGATTCAACCATAGGGAAAATAGAAATCACCCTATATAGGCAAAACCAAGTATAGATTCGCAGGCCCGTACATTACACACTTTGTGAGTTCCCCCATGTATCCCCATGTAAATTCCCACTCAACTCTACAAAACAAGCATAAATCGAGTACTGTATACAGCCACATGTTGATTGCTCGTCACCTCTGGAAACTCGCGCATCAGTGACTCCAGCATTGTGAAGATCGTGGGGCGGTTCAGGCACAGCTCATGTAAACCATCCAGCCAGTCCTCTTGGCCACTGGGCTGGGCAACAATCGCCTGCCCCTCAACCTTCAGAACAAGAGACAACAAGAGAAACACATCAGCTATGCTGCATCTGCATGACTAACCAAGCGGTGGCACACCAATTCAAGAGCGAACAGCAGGTGACAAAATTCAGGAAAGAGTCCTTTGCTGAATTTTGACGATCAGCGTCAGGTCGCTCATCCTCCGCCGGGGGCTCCACCCTCTTCCCAATCAAGCGAACGGACAAGTTTCCTGGCAATGTGAGACACTCTTGGCCAGATGGGTTGTACCTTGTGGACCAACAGGAAAGAAGAATACTCTAATCAAACATAAGCACACACAGTTGGGTAAAAGAAAACATGCTTCCAACGGAACTATATCAATCACACAACACACTTCTCTATAGTCTTCCATTGAAACACCCCCAGAATGCCAAACACACACACACAAAATATGCCATGATTTCCCTCAAGCTCCAGTGTACCAATGAAACGGAGGACAGTCGGACTCCACCGGTTCTTCCAGCCGATAGTAGTGTGTGCCAAACCATCTGCGACGTTGCCGAGGGGTCAGGGAATACTGTTGCTGAAATATCCAATGTTGGCCGTTGTTGCACCCAATCTGCAGGTCTTCATCCTCTGTGTCCGGATCATTTGTAAGGCTATCATCGGTCTCGGGGTCATCACGCAGACCAACTAGCTCAGGCAGGGTAGTTTTGTGACTGCCACTGGTTGCTTGGATGATGCCTTAAGCAGCGTGGGCAGCCAAACAATATGTCAAGCCCGTGAACATGTCTCAAAATGAGAACTCGCGTGCACGTCTTGGATTTGCTTGAGGAACCCTGAAAAAGGAAAAGGCAACTCCACAAAAGGGGATTCACTCGTAGGAAAAATAGACTTTACCCGGAGCAAAAAACCAGACGTGCTTAGATCCAAGCATATCTGAACCTGAAACACAAGAAGCAACCACGACATGCAAAAAGTTAGTCAGGGGCCTATCCAACACCCTATGATTGAACTGTCCTGTGGCACCCAAAGGACTACCTGTCATGTGTGTCTACTGTAGGTATGCACATCATCAACACAAGGAGACTCTTCTCTGTCTGACAAAGTACACGCCGCATTCAATCTTGCAGCCTCCTCACACAATAGCTTTCCGTAGCAAGAATCAGAGAACAGGATGATGTCCTTGGAACCCAGATCATTCCAAAAGCTGCAAAAACCTGAACGAAAGAAGAACTGCTCCCCATCTGCAAGCCTCCAAGCAAAAAATTGCTCACCACTTGGGACATCGGGAAGGTCGCAATTGTCAAGATCACAGTCTGGAAAGCCACCCACACCCACCACCACCAAAATCGCCTGACTTGAGCTCGTCGACTTGTGAAGCTCACGAATTGCCCTTTGAACGTCTCCGGAGTGCCAGCCCATTGAATCATACATGCTGCTCACCCGGCAACCACGACTTGTCCAGAATGTATGGTGCTGCTCCACTGACTCAAAGATCTCGTCGAAGTCATCGAGCTCATCTGAATCTGCACCGTCTCCAATCCCAACAATTTTTACATGCACACTTCTAGTGCCAGAGCAAGCTGACTCCCCAGCGTCCTTGGATTTGCTTTGAGCACCGTCCGCACCATCGGAACCAGTATCACGATACTTGCAAGCATCCTTAGGTCAAACTGGCTCAAGCTGGCTGATCAGCTTGTTGATCAGCATTAAAGACCAAACGCATTGAACATTTATGAACATTTCCTGTATACTATATACACTCCCTACAAGCAACTTCCCACTGTGGAAAAATCCAAACATCATCTTGCCAGAGCAGTGTCGGGCATCAAGGCGCTCTTTGATTCTTGCGATCACTTGACGCACTCGCTCCATGTTTTCCTTGCTCTGTCCGAATTTGGTCTGGTCACGGCGAATCTTCCGCAGCGTGGCGGCCACATAGACAGCGATGGGGTGACGTGCTTCGAGCGCGAGAGTCCGGAACTCGCCGAGCCAAGGGGCGGAAGCCTGACGGCCGTTCCAAAGGCTTCTGCCCGAGTAGAGGTCCATCTAAGTCCAAAAAGATGTTCAAACGGCAAGAACAACTATACGGATCAGCAAGAAAGGAGAGAGAAACGAGTAAGAACAAGAATCATGAACAACTGGCCACAAGTCCGACCAACAGTTGGGACCAGCATTAACTGTTGGGCTGTGGTTCCGAACTGGCAGCCTCAAAGTTGGTCAGACCCAAACCTTGCAGGGGCATCCAATCATCATAGCTGGTTCCATCAGGGCCGTAAACGCTTGAAAGCTCTTGCATCACTTCTTCTCGCAAGCCCAGGTTTGCATATACCAAATATGTGAGTCCTTGACCCTTCTTGCTCTCCTCCGCATGCCAGGAGCACCAGCTAAACACCGTGACATCATCTGCAGGAATCAGTTTCTGGATGGATGCCTTGGTGGTGTAGTCCGCATAGATTGTGACTGTAGTTGCAGCATTCTGATTCCGAGCCTTCAAGCTCAAAATGTCATTCAATGTCAAGGGCTCATCAAAGGCCCAAGCACATCCGTTGGTCGTCTCATCTGCTGGACCAACATAGAAAATCCTTGCAAGGTGAGTTGAAGTCCAAGTTTGCTACTTGTACAAGCTAGACAGATTGAATACAAGCGCTGCTGAGAGGACTCAACCAGTGCACTCCAAAAGTGAAAGACGAGAGCATGTGCAGAAAGTGGGGCCTTCATACCCCTACCCCTAACCTGAAGGGATCCCACACGACTGTTCTTAACCAAAGAACCCCGTACACGGAGCCATCGACTGGCACTGGTTTGTATAGAGGCCTTCACAGTGTGCACGTGTTGTTGGCAAGAGGGGTCGGGCCTCTTGATGCCATCGCGTTGGAAGAGCCGCTCCAAGCAGGGCTTCACATGCGCCACGCTGAGCGTTTCCGAGGACTGCACGATGTGAGTCCTGCCAGGATTCGCTGCAAATGGTTGCATGGATGGAATCGGTGCTGACATATGGCTGGGCTCATGGCACCAGCAAACAGACCCGTTGACCCACACGGTGTCGGTCGTTGGCGGACGACCCGTGGGGGTGAACAATGGGTGGGTTTGTCACGACCCGTGGCCACGGTGTTTCACCGTGACGACACGGGTCATGCAATCGCTGAACCAAGGACACCCTCATGGTTCAACATCAACGAAGCATTCAACGTGTATGCAAGGCAATGTGAGGAAGCCAATAGGAAATAATACATGGGATTACATGGGACAAAATAACAAGTAATAACACTTGATCAGTGGTCCAAAATGAGACATTCTGATATTGCTCAAGAAGATGCATAGATTGGTGAACCCTCATGATGACATGCTTCGACCATATGCATCTAGAAAAACGACTTCAAAAGGGCTCAGCAAACAAAGAACTACATTCCAAGCGGGTTCAGTCTCATTGGGAATTTAAAACATGTGAAATCCACCGTCAGCAGGCCAGTTGAAGCAAATTTGCCACTTGTCCTCCTCCCTCTCGGCAGAAAGGTGCACAGCAGCTGGATGCTCTCAGGGTCTCTGCCGTTGCAAATGATCAAAGACGAGCTGCCTGCGTTGACTTCAAAAAAGACACACACACACCAAGACAAAGCACCGATCGGTTATAATTATCGTGTCTACTCCCTTACGCTCAAAAGCACAGAATATGTTCTTGAACACCTTGACCAATCTATTTCCTTGTATAACTATACATGTTAAGCAGGAGTCTGCCACTTGAACATCAATGTAGGCAATCGATAAGATTGCTAATATGCCTTCACCACCACTGCCTTCACCCACAACACCAATAACTGATTATAATAAATTAACTATAAAACATGGCCACTCATACCTGACCAGCAGCTACACTTTGTTCAGCACATGGACCAAGTGAAGTTACCAAGTGTCTCAACACTAGGGGCAAACCACCAAACCAATTGGTTTAAGATAAGGAATGTTAATCTATAGATTTATTTAATTACAGTTGAGGCTATTCTCAGTTACCCATGTCACCAATTAGGGGACTTGCAAAAAATGGGCACTTTATGCGTCTATGCATGGAAGGAATCAGATGGCAAGTTGGGTGGCGCAGCCATGACACACCACCCACCGAAACGGAGCGGCTCCTTCGCCTTCTTCGTGCTCGTGCTCAGCCATATGACTCCATCGAGCACAAGCAGTTGAACCACTTGAGCCAGGCAAGCCCTGAACAGCAAGCCCTGGTGAGCAATGAAGACGTCAGAACAGCGAACGTGGTGCTACGCGCTCGGTCCAACTTACCGCGCAGCTCGCTCGGTTTGCAACTTACCGCCGTTGCATCGTTTTTCGCTCGGAAAGTCGGGCTCCATCCGTCTGTCAACCTTGTCTCTGCTCGGTCTATGCGCATCGATTCTTGCCTGGCATGCCCAACATGGTTAGAACATTGCCAGTAACGGCAGAAGCAACAAGTACTCGGATTGAACACCCACCATTGTTCCGCAGGAGACTTTGTCAAAGTTAGACCTCCCAAAACTCCCCAATCCTTAATCCTTCCTCAAAGAATAGGTCCAAACCACTTGCCAAATGCCCCTCTCCACTCTTCACTCTTTTCATCACAAGGTGTGACTTGCGCGCATCGTGCACGCGCGGAAAAGCGCGTTGCGTTGCACGCCTGGTGCGTTTCTCAGAGAAACTTCTTCTGCTCCCCGATCGAACTGAACCTCAGAAGACCCGAGGCAAGGAGATGGAGTTGTTTCTCCAAAAAGGCGGAGTTAACAAAGGATTCCCGGGGGGGACGGTTGTTCTCAAGACTTTGAAACATTCATCCGGCATGACCAAAAGAGGAAGTGATTGAAGTGACTGAAGGAACAGTTTACAGTCAGAGCTTCTTGCAACAGAGGGCCTGATTGTCAGATGGATTCTTGCAACAGATGGAACAGTTTACAGTCAGAGTACGATAGTAGTGGTTCTCCGAATCCATCTGACACGATTTTTTACCGTCGCCATCCTCCTTTCAGTCTCCCAGCCGATCGGTCAGCGTGCTGCCATCGCCCACTGCAGTTGCAATGGCCTCGCAAAGCGCCGGCAGGATCAGTTTTTGTTATCTACCTTTTTCCATTGCTTGTGGTAGTCAGAGCTGCTATGCAGCGCCTACTGGTGGTAGGGTCAAAGTAGACACTTTCAAAAGATTGACCCTCCCAATGGGCCCCTGGAAGATTGCTATCCTCAACGCGAACGCGCCGAGTGCCGCGCCTTCTGTCGCTTCTCCAAGAGTTCTCGGAGCTCGCCCACCAACATCGATTCGCGATTCGCCTTCTCCTCGAAGTTGTACCTTCACTTGTTGTACGCTGAGACAGCCAGCCGGTTGGAGACAGCGGTACGCGTGGTAACGTTTTTGACCACTGGAGGGGAGAGAATACAGTGTGCGACATGCATGTACCCAAGTATCCATAGAGGTCATCGATGGGTTTGCCGATGTGTGATGGAATTCTTGGAGCAGTTGGAAGGGCAAGGTCTCCAAGCCATTGAGAGATAGGATCTTGGAGAACTGCCCGAAAACTCTCAATCTGGACCTGGTACCTATAGGAACCTCTCAATGATGACGCTAGCTGTGTCTGCTGATTTATGTTTACGAACCACAAAAAGTGGACGCACCTACTACAAAAGAAGCAGCACGGGCAACTGCACATCTCAGCAGTTATATTCCATTAAACGCATTAAAGGCCGGGGCACATAGCGAGGGCTCGCTTCTCTTCGGCAGAGTAGACCTGATTCTCCTGGAGGTGACACCCACGTCAGTCCACTTCAGCGTCACAAAATCTCTCAAGATCATCGAAGGGTGGGTGAAGCACAGGAATCACTGATCCAAACATAGGTTAACTATATTTAAACCATTTTGAACCTTTGCGAAGGGAATGTGATTTTCCACATATGCATGTCTTCCTCGATCCCTTAGGTCCAAAAAACATATTATAACATATTGTTGTCCACATCTTCAATCCTTGTCATTAGATGTTATTAGCATCATCTTCAAACACCAAACCCAGTCTTTCAGGCAGCTGGAACTGCAGTACCACCCCAAACCTGGACCTTCAACAGCCCCCCCTGCCAACAGCAACTGTCACCGCCGCACCCCACCCCGCGCCCCAGTCCGGGCCCCAATCTGCCCCTCGGGTCTCCTTTCGGATACGCACCGCGTTCATACGTCGGTGCCGAGAACCGCTCATGACCTGAGCCGAAGGGCAGAGGGATGTGAACGGTCTTCGTGAGACGGGCGTGAGACGGGAGACGGTGGTAGAGCGGGTTTTTGCAGTTCCAGTGAGTCTGACACGAGATGGTGGCGAGGTGAAGAGGAGGTGCCACCGTTTCAGCTGGTTTCGGACTTTAACATCTGTACCCGGAAAAAAGGATGCAAGCAAGGTTGCATACTGTGGAGGAATCATCCCTATCATCCCTTTTGCCCAAACCTGGTTTAAGCGTTGCCTTGCTTGTGCAACCTTGAAACATCCCAAAAGCACCTGGTTGGTTCGGTCACTTAGGAACCTTCCTAACGGTCACTTAGGAACCTTCCTAACGGTCACTTTGCAGAAGCTGGCGGCTAAAATATTCTTGAAGACGTCCTACAAGATGCGTTCCAACCTTCCCCGAGTCAGCTTCTGTTGACTTGATGACTTGATGATGCTTCAACACACATTGCCTAGAATTTGTGGCGGTCCACCATGTCGAAGATCCTCTCAGGTTCCGAGCATAGCCCAAGCCCTCAAGGCCGTCGATCTGCTCGGCAGTGATGCCGACCTCTCCTCTGCGCGGGATACGCATTCCGCTCTTCACGTACCTCGACAACACCGGAGAGGTACTCAGCAGCCGCTCAGAGGAGAGCAGGTGCCAAGATCTTTTGGATGACAGGAACATCCAATAATTTCTTGGCATTGACCATCCACACCGTTTTTGTTTACCACTAGGATCGAACACTCCAACTCTAAACTCGCTGGTGGGAATTGAAACTGTTTATTTAAACATGTTTCAAAACCAATTACTCATTTTTTGTCATATTACATAATTAAAACTCGGTAGGAATTTAAACTGTTTAAACATGGTTCAAAATCCATTACTCATATTATATTACACACTTACACTCCAATGCAACAAGGGCTTTGGCTGCGCACTCGGCCATGGCATCTCCCTCTCCGGGCAGCAAGTAGCCTGCCAATGAGTGAAATGAAACTGAGGAATTTCGATCAACCTGAGCATCGACGCTTTCATTCTCAGAACCACGGTGTTTGTGGCCAAGCGCAATCTTTGGCGATGGTGGAAACTGGAGCCATCTCAATCTGGGAGAATCCTCTAAAAGAATGAGATATCCGATCATTTCACAAGCTCCTCTCCTGGTCGAAAATTGCAAGTCACAACAGCATGATGAGTTGACATCTTTGAGCACAAGCAAGAAAACATGGCAAATTAAGGTAACCTTATACACTCCAAGTATGTGTCTTTGCTCCACTTGCATGGTGAAACGCAGGCCTCCATAAGATCCCTTGCTCTGCGACATGTTGTTGATGAGCTCCTTGCGTCTGTCATGATCTAGTCGACCTTCTTCAGATCTCACCCATGTTTTTTTCACTGCTCTGAGTCTCTGAATACACATCTTATAGAGACTCAAAGAAAAGCCTTATAGAAACGTATGGATTCACAACAGTCTCTGAAAAGTGTTATTATATGGATTCCAACAACTTCAGATGAAAAGCCTCCGGTCGTCCATGCCTTCTCCACAGGATGGGATCGGATCTTCGGCTCGATCGGCGCGGGACACGGAGTGAGAGCTCCTGTTGACTCGCTGGCATGGGCCCAAAGCCTTCATCCTGAGCGCCCAAAAGACATGTCAAAGGCTTTTTTGAGTAATTTGTATTTTTGGATATTTTTGGGATGATTGCTCAAGAACAGGTGCGAAACATGCGATAGATCGAGTCCATACATTGGGCTGGAAACAAAGAGGCTGGCGGAATTGTTCAGGCATGGGCCAATCAACATGTTCATGAAAACACAAAGACAAAGCCATAAAAATTGGGACCTGTGGACTTCTTCTCTTTTCAACAAGCAATGTTCCCAGCCTCCGAGTCGTAGTTGTAGCCTCCACAGTGCGTGTTGGGCTTCTGTGAAAAAATGGAACGAACGTGTGTGATGGATTTCAAGTCACAGGTAGCTGTAGGTCTCACAGCAGAATACAGATTTTCAGAATGTGGGCCTTGATACTTTCATATACTGTCCAACTCATAGGCTCCAGAGTACTCGCACGTCATGAGTCTCTCTCGCAAAAAATCATGAATCCTTGGGAATCCTTGCAACTTGCCCTAAGAGTCAATTACAAGCCACCGGTGCTGGCAGAAGCATCCTACATTCTCAAGAAACCTGGAATCCAGCCCAAATGGGGATCTTCACTTGCTTGACCCTGCACATCTTCCCTCTGGTCAACCAACTAACGCATACAAACGCCCAGGCCGCCCGCCGCCTGCAGCGTATTTGGAGTCGCCCGCGGCACTGGGTCGAATCTCGACCCATTCCACCTGCATTCGTCGACGCGTCGCACGGCCTGCCACGGCCTTCCCAAGAGAAGCGCCAGGATTGGCAGGAACTTGCATCTATCTGCTGCTTGGTCAAGAGACAGCAGAATACAGGTCCCACTGGCATGTAGTCACATTGTAGTGGCATCTATGCATCCCGGCATCCCTCTATAGAGTGCAGTTCTGCAGTTTGGCACGCGAAACCTGAAGTGAGTAGACTTGACACAAGCTGAGTCATCTTAACCCTGATGTATGTACATACACGTGCCCTGGGCTGACACTGGGACAGCCACTGGCCACGACCTGTTATACGTAGAGTGTCTTGTTCATGTCTCACAAACCGATGACTCCAGTCGACCAGTCCCACGCGGATCGGCGCCGCTGTGAGGGTCAGCCTGTTCTTCCATCACCGTCTCGCCGCTGTCGCTGCTCTCCTCCTCGCTCCGAGCGTCGGACACCGTGAGTGGTCCGTGCTGAGACCGGGCCTCGCTTTTGTACCAACAAGACATGGGGTGAAGGTTCTGAAGACTCGTTCGCAACCGTGAAGATTCACCTGACCTATCTGCAGTGTGCAATGGAACCACTGTCAATATCCAATGAAACAAACCATGCAATTCAGAA